AATAAATTCTTCAGAGAATTCTACTTGTATTTCCATCGAAGATATTGAACCGTTCCTTTTTTCGTGACCCACCCTGTACGTACGCATGCCTAGCTCGATACTTGCGCGTACGTGTCGCCTTCTTCAACTTCACTCGACTTCATCGCGGTCACGTTCCTTTTACATCGACTGAAAAAGAACGACAGGTGTATAATAAAAGTCTCCGCGCGAAAATTCACGAACGAACGCGTGAGAAGGAGGGTTACGTTAGCGCCCCGAGCGGAGTCGTTTTTGGCGCGCTTTTGTAACGAGTGGGGCGGCCATTGTTCCTCCCTCGAGACTCGAGGCTCGCGAAGCAGGTAATGAGGGTAATTGGGAATGAACGAATGAATGAACACGACTCCATAAATACGATGAATCGACAGTCCCGGATCGCCAGAGATTAATTAACATTGCGATCGTTATTGAGTTCGTTGCATCAGTGTAGAATTTTTTTATTGTTGTATAGAGGGTGCACCAGAGGAAATATTACACAGTCAGTCCCATAAGTATCTTTTATGTGAGTTTATCTAGATTAAATTGTAGGTTTGATGTTTTCGAATGAATATTTCGTTATAAATATAATTATTATTACACAAAAGGTGGCTCCAAATAAATATTACACAGTCAGTCCCATAAGTATCTTTTATGTGAGTTTATCTAAATTAAATAATAAGTTCAATATTTCCAAATGGCTATTTCATTATAAATACATAAATTTAGACAAATTTCTTAAATAGAGATAGAGTGATTGTATAATAGAACAACAGGACGCTCTACATAACCATGCAAATTTTTAGCAACTACATCCTCCATCACTGTAATCAGGTTTTCACCCGATCCTCGTAACATAACCTCTTATCTACGATATAACCTCGCTCAGTTCGATGCCATTACTCTCCCCCTCCCGAGCTTTTCTAAAACCTAAATTTACCCTCGTATCTAACCGCGTGCCGACATCAAAGCATCATGGATCAGCAACGTCGTCGAAAAAGGCTCGTTTGCACGAAATTTCGCGCCGTAAATTCGAGTCTCTTTAAATTAACTCGATCCCCATTACCGTCTCGTGCGCGACGCGCGTGGCTAAAGTCGCTGATTTAGTGACTCCCTCGTTTGGTTTCGTGGCTCGCGATAACGGCTGTATCGACTGCCAAGCTAACAGTAAATTAGAGGCCGGCCTAGCCAGCCCGAAGCACCGCCGCCACGGCCTCGTCGTTTTCCGTCGCGAGAAAGCGAGAAAACCGCGTCGCGTGTTGCTCCTTGGGAAATTATGAACTCCTAGATCGCGGATGAATGATTGATTAACGGTGACGTTGGAGAACCGCGAGCACGGAGAGTTTCGTTTACAATAAAAACCCGAGTCACACTTCTTGAAAGAAAAGTTCAAATGCCGTGGCTTGTTCTTCGAGTTAATCGATTGCTTGGAAGCATTGCTGCTTTTTATTCGGTTTGTGCCCCAAACTTGGACTTTCTCCATATGGTTGACGGACTTGTGGTCATCGTTGAATTTCTCTTCGGATATTCGAGTCACCCAACTACTTTAACATTAGTTAACACTTTCCAAGTCTGTAGGGACAAGACGAGATCACTATAACTCTCCTATTCGAGTTCTCAACTCATCTACTTCAGAGACCTTCAGTCCCTCCGCGTGAATCCCCAGTAGCAGACGTAATCAAAACAAAGAGCCACCACCCGAACCAATTATAATCACGTACCGAGGATAGACTGCAGCAATTAAATAAATTATCGTCGATCCAGTTTCTGAATACGTCCAGCTGGACGCGCGAGACGCGAACAATCGCGTTCTTCTTTTTGAAACGAGCCAGATAAGGTTTTCCGAGCCAAAAATGTCCGCGATTTATGCAGCGAGTCGCCGAATAAAGCTCGACGCAAATATGCCGCAAATGCGAACTATCGGCATCTTAATGGGGCGAGATTGGCGACACCGTGCCCGATACTTGCTCGTTAAAATGCCGACAGTTCGCGTTAGCCGGGTGCGTCTCAAAAAATACCGGCGCGTAATTCATCGGGCGAGTTTAATCGCGTCGAATGACCGCCTTAAACGCGCCCGTTTGCGATCGCGGATAGACGCTCCTTCTATTATGCGAATTCTTGTTGATTCGATCACCCGTTACTTCGATGAAAGAACTTTGGATGTAAGGATCTCGTAAAAGTGGAACGTTCGAGTTTCGTTGATACTCATTTAATAATTTAAAGGAGTTATTTTGTTGCTTCGTAGGTGTTGCGAATCTTGAGCATGTATGGTTTAGATGGAGAATTAAATATAGGTAGATTTGAGTTGAACGAAACAATTCTTCATAGCAAAATAGAGCGATAATGTGGTATAAAATTTTCCAGTACGTCCTTCCATTTCCGAGGAAAACGATTTCAAAAGTCAATTACACCTGCGCGCGCACAGCGGTGGCGCGCACGACAGCAATGGCGTCCACTGTTGCGCGCGCATGAGAACTTATACTTCAAACCCAATTTTCTCAAAGAAGAAGCTTTCTACGAAGAAACTTTATTCCACATTTTTGACTCACTTTTGCTCAAAGAATCGAACTGTGCACTCGGAAATCCACAAACTTCCCAGTTTCTTCTTCAAACAACGTTCAGAGAAACGTAGTCGCTGGTGAATTTTTCTCCGAGACAATTTTTGCTTTCTAAGAGACACAGTGTGCCACCTAACGAGCAATAAATACACTCGCGGACGTCAAAGTGTCAACCGGGAGTATTTACGTCGCGTATTCGGTCGGTGCGATGCGAGGAAATCTTTGGAGACGCTTTATGGATCGTAAAGCTTGGCTGGGACTGGAAAAGTTCACGGTAAATCGTACTTGTTGCAAAATTCAATCGAACTGTTCGCGAACCGAGGCAGGAAGTATCGCACTGTAAAACGAAACACGCTCGTTTACATACACCTACCAGGCGCAACGCTTTCACGAGTCGCGATCGCTATCGCGGCGCAATTCCTCGGGTCGCGCGCATCGCCGTGATTTTTCAACCTCAACGAATCGATTTATTCACACGCGCGTGGAGTCCTTCGTTTAGATGTCCCTTGGGTTCTAGCAGGAGGTGCAGGACACTTCGTCGAGCCGAAGTTGATCTGAATTATTGTTCTATAGTGGTTCACCTTTGGTAGCCTCATGTTTTAGTTGTTAGGGAATTTAACCTCGTAGCTTCAGTAGAACAGAAGGATTCGGAAGATCCTTGGTCTGTGATTCACCAAATTACAGAACATGACCTACCAACTTCGCCAAACCATAAAACAGTTACATCCAAGGGTCACTCTCGATCCTTCTTCGCATCCACTTTGCCATTTAGGTTCGAAACACCTGTATCATGTGCACGCGCGGTCCAGCGACGCAGAAGCGCGCGGAGAGGACACGACGGTAAACGAGGAGTAAATCACGCGCGTTGCATGGTCGGGAAACACGAGACGGTGACATTTTACAGTCACCTTTTGTGAATCGTAATCCAGGGACGACGATGTCGACGCACGAACTTTCGACCTCGCCTTTGTGATATGCCCGTCGGCCTGCGGTTCCTTTCCTTCTCCGAAACTCCCCTCTCAGCGTTCGCGCCCTTCATCCTTGGCGGCTCGTTTGAATCAATATAGTGGGAAGGGTACGTTGCGACTATTCCCAGCATGGTAGCCTTCAGATTAGTTGGAAAATTCGTGAAATGTACTGGGGAAAGTACTGAAGATCCTTTAGGATTGTAGGGTGATTGTCCTGGCAGATTTGAGAGGAACATTGTTAAGATTTAATTTTTTAAGACTTAAGCCTGACTTAGCACGAGGCATTGAAGAAATTGGCATACTGAGGCATCTAGAGTAGCATTCCAACTTCGTCAAACCATCAGATAATTACGTCCAAGGGTCACTTTCGATCCTTCTTTATAGATACACAGTTAATCCGGACTTGACACAAGTTGGGTCAAAGATACTTATACCAAGGCACTCAGACCAGAATTAGATCATCAAACTAGAGAACATGACCAACCAACTTCGTCAAAC